GAAGTTCCCGCAGCTGAACTCCTCGGAACTCGCCCTCGCGCGCGGCCGCCCCGCCTTCGTGCGAAGCGTTTTCCGCGACCCTGCCCGCCCCAGAAAAATCGCGCCCGTCTTCGCTTTTGGGGGCATGGGCGCCCCCCCCCTCTCTGTTCTTTTGGGCGGCGTGCCGGGGTGAACTTGGCCAAGGAGCCCCTAGCATGGGTTTCTTTGGCGGGGGGGCGGGCCCTCGTTCATGGCGCGCGTGTGTTTTCGGAGGTGTCCCCGTCGGGCTTCCGGGGGGCGGGGCAGCGTTGGTCTTTGCTACCTTTCGACCCCCCTCGCCCCTTCCTACCCCCGCTTTCGCCGCCGCTTGCGCGCCCGCGCAGGGCGCGTGCACGCCCGTGCAGGGCGTGGAAGCGGCCGCAGAATCTGCGCCCGATCGACTGGAATATGGGGGGGGTTGGCGCGGCGACGCCTTCACCGTCGTCGGCGTCGTCATGGGCGATGGCAGACGGTTTGCATGTTTTTGTCGCTTTCGGGGCGTCTTCGCGCGCCGCGGCAGGGCGCGAACTCGAAAACCGGACGGGGCGCGCCCGCCGCCGCAGGCGAGCCAAGACCCGAGACCCATAAGGTTTTGATCAGGGGAATTCGGCCAAGTGGCTGACAGATCACCAAACATAGTTACCCCCGCCCCTTTTCCTGAGCCCCAGGATATGCGAGAAATGCCCGGACAGTCAGCATCCAGCGGCGCGCATCGGACACCCGCATCAGGCAGCAACGCGCACAACACCACGCAGCAGCAACGAAAGCAGAACAGCACAACGCAGCAACGAGAAACGGCAATCCGCAGCGGCATCGATCGGTTCAAGCAGCATTGTCTCCCGGGGTGCCCGACATGCGTCCCAAGTTTGGCGATCCGCGTGTCGCGCCCGCCCATACTTGAACTTGTCGCAATACTTGATGACCTCAGCTCTCGGCGCGGCGCCGTCGCATTCAAAGTTGCTCGCGCAACATGGTTTAACCCTTCCATGGCGTCATACACGATGTTTTCGGGGCAACGTGTAACGCGACTTTGTTGCTTTACATCTAGTCACCCTGGTCCGATATTCATATGCAAAGTTTTTAGCATGGCCCAGCACGCGTCGGCTGGATTCCAACAGGCACTAGGACAACATGTTAACGGAACGGCGAAAACGAGTGAGAGGACCCAAGACAAGAAACCAACAATGAGGAGGATGACGTGGGGCGGGGTTAATCGCAGGTTCGGTGGGGGTGGGGGCGGGGAGGGGCGCGACGAACGGTGCGAGGAGGACGGGGAACAAAAGGAGGGATGAGCAAGGAATGCGGGCAAAACGCGAACGCGAAGAGCAGGAATGAGGGCGGGCGAGTGTGGCCACGATGATGGAGTGGAGCAGGGGAAGCAGCATCCGGTTTCGGGGATGGGGGGCGATGGGGATAAGGCGTCAGTTGGGTGAATAAAAAGGACGAGATTGAGCTGTGGGATGAGAGTGAATGACTGTGAACGGCCACGATCGATGACCGAGGAAACATGGTAAAGAGGATATGGGCCGAGACAAGTACGGAAGAGAAGGGCGATTAACAACATATGGCAATCGGCAGTTGCGACCGTCCCAAACAGGTTTGGAAACTGCTGATTCGCATAGGGGCATCCTGCAAACACGGAAGTCGTCGTACCTGACATCCTCGGGACGCGGCGCGGCGACTTCTTTACAAATTGTCTCTTTGGTACATACGTTAACGCGGCCTTGCCTTGTGAAGCGGTTCCTTCCGTCTCACCACAGGTGGCCCAAGAAACGGGTCGCGGCGCCATTGGCGACTCCTCCCGTTCCCTGGGCGCGGCGCGGGGGACGCGCCAATGGCGTTGGCTGGCGGGGAGGCGATGTTCGTGCTAGTTGGCGCTGGGGGAGGTCGTGCGGAACGGGGGCGGGGAAGGGGGGGGGGGGGGGGGGAACGCGCTTGCGGTCGCAATGAGGGCGTCGTATTGCAGTAGTTAGGTGCATGTTTGTTCCTGTGGTGTCCGCCACCATCCTCCCGCGCCATTTTTCGCGCGCCACCGACTGGACCACGCTCCACAGGTGGCCTCTCGCGCGCGCCACGTCACAGTTGTCCGGGGCGCGGGCCTCGGGCGGTGTCGAGGTCGGGGGCGGTCACGCATCGCTCGGTCGGGTGCATTCGTTCTCGGCGACGGCCATCCAGGAGCATCCCGCCATCATCGAGCAAGAAGAGAGAAGATGCACGGGGGATGAGCGTCCAAGCGATGGCAGGTCTTGGACGCCTTCGACAAGGGCGACGGAGCGACACTTTTCGTGCTCAGAGCGTTCTCGAAGAGCTCGCCAGAGGGTAGCGGCTTCCGAAGCTCGACGCGAGGCCCCAAGAGAGTGTTTGTTTGAGTCCGTAGCGTCCGTGACTGTGGGTCCCCACCCACCCACCCGTCTCCCGTAGTGGAACCGAAAGTACGCGTGGGTGTTGCCGATTCCCCCTCGGGTAATTACTCTAGATTTCCTGAGCGGGGTGCGAGTAGCTGAGGTCAAAGGATGTCTCCGCATCGCCGATGCATCGATGATGCAGCTCGATGTGCAGCGCGATGTTCTTCACGCCGATGTCGCCGTTGCGTCGGCGAGGCATTGGCGATGTGGCGCGATCCTCCGACTCCATCTATTCGGACCCTCTGTGGTGCTGACAGGCATGCTTCCGCCAATTGTAATACGATTTGAGATTAGCCGCCAGACTGACTCGCAGACTGCTGATTGGCTGGCTGCTGGCGATTCAATGTTAGCCGGCATCTGCTCCTGGCCCAGTTGTTCTTGGCGTTTTCTGTTGGCACGTGTTGCCGTTCGATGGTGCGCGAGAAAAGAGCACTCGCAATTTCGGAGTCCGAGCGAGGGCGGACATACGGGTACTTTTCTCCCCGCACTTGTAGTGCGAAATTCATTTTGTGGCATGAGTGAATTGTAATCCACGTCCCGCCCATTCATCTCATCATCGTAGCCGCTCGACCGACTCCGAAACATTCAGGCACTCGAGGTACAGGAAACCGGCCAGGAAGCCAGTGGATACCAGGATACCAGTGGATACCATAACCTAAGCGCGCGAAACGCTCGCCTGGTTCTAGTGCGCATGTGTGCATATATATATATATATATATATACATATACACACATACATACGTACATACATGCATGCAGACAGACAACCAGACATATATGTATATGTATATGTTTTTGTCTTTGACTGTTTTGTTCTGTGGCGGCGAGGCGGTCTCAGGCCAAAGGTCCGAGGGGGATCTTTGGGCGTCTCCGTAGTCGCTCTTGGTCCAAGCTCGCATGCACTGGCTTGCAGAGCAGCTCGGCGGGGCGGGCTCCGCTTTCGTCGGCGCGTACCTCGGCGCCTCCACCGCGAGCACCCATTGCTCGTGCCATTTCGAGTCCAGCCCCGTGGACGAGGGGCTCCTGACAATCCTGCGGGCGCAGCTGGACCGCTGCGGGCCCGAGCGGCTGCACACCGCGGCGGCGCCTGTGTGCGCCCAGCCGGTGGGCGGCTTCTTGGTGGCGGCTGGCCTCGGGCTGCTGCTGGGCGTGAGCCTCACCCTGGGAGCGCAGGCCGCGCTCCGCCCGCTGGCCCCGGCTGCGGCCCAGCCTGCGGCCGCCGGCCGTGCCCCGGCGACTCCGCCGGCCCAGCAGGAGGGGGCTGCCTTGACGCCGTCCTCGCTGCGGCGACTGCGAGATGGCGACAACACTGGACTCTGACATCATCCAGATCCTGGTGGACTACGTCGACGATCCCAATATATTATGGCATCACCGACTGTTGCTCTTCGAGCTGGGGCCGGGGCGGTGGGTATGCGCCACCCCAGATTTTTCAGTGCAAGTCATCGACTTGTCTCAGCACCGCGTGCTGCCCCTGGCTCGGGCGGCGCCGTGGCCGGCACAGGTGCGTGGCAATGTGTACGGCTTCGACCCGCTCACGGCCGACCAGCGGGACGACCTTTTCCTGCGGGGCGGCCAGCTCGCCCGGGTGCTGGGCCACCAGCCTGGCAACGTGGCGGCCGCCGCCGACCGCCAGTGGCGGGTCTCCGACACGGGCCACGAGATGTTCAACGAGGTGGTCGCGGACGGGAGCATGCTGGGGGATCGTGCGGTCGTGAAGGGCGACACCGGGCTGTACTGCATCGACGAGGGCGCCAGCGAGTGGGTGTCCGTTCAGCGCGTGCGGGTCCAGGACCACGACGCCTGGCTGGAGAAGAAGCGCAGCGGCCCGGGTCGGGACCTGCGCATTCTTCCTGTGCATCGCGACGCGGGTGGCAAGAGAGCGATGCTGCTCCGCGAGTCCATCAACCTCTTCCGCGAGCCGAAGTTCCCCGACTGGCCGTTCGAGGGGCCCTCGGCCGCCAAGGAGGTTCTGGGCGACGTAGCTGCGGCGGGGCTGGAGCTCCATCTGTACCCGACGTGGTGGGAGAGCAAGAGCGGGGTGAACCCGGCGGGCAGTGTGGCGCGGGAGGTGCGGCTGGCCTTCGACTACCTGAGGATGCTCCAGGCTTACGACCAGACGAACATGGTGTCCTTGGCGGCGGTGGAGCTGATCTGCCGACGCATCGTCGTCTGCCAGAAGGCCGTGCGGCGGAACCCGAAGGCGCCAGACTTCACCGGCCTCGAGCGCTTCGTGCTCTCCAACTTCGACGAGTCGGGAGGACTCAAGACGACGGAGTTCGACAAGTACATGGCGGAGCAGCAGAAGGCCAGCGCCGTGGTGCTCAAGAGTATGCGGCAGGACGTCGAGGAGCAGGAGAACGAGAAGAAGAGGCAGGCCGGCCGCCAGCAGGGCGGCGGCAAGACGGGCAACGGCTAGAGAGACGCGGGGGCGGCGACGGGCCCAAGCCGGCATCGCGGGGCTTGGGCGGGTCGGCGGCGCCCCCTTCTTCGAGGCCGTGCACGGCCTCCACTGACCGCGAGGTTTTGTCATCGCCCTGCGATACGTTCCCCTTGCCGACGGGCTCCGCGTTGGACATGTTCGGCGGGGGTGATCGGGCGGCTTCGCGCCGCCTCCCGACTCGAGCGGGCGACGAGCCCTCAGCAGCAGCCCTCGTGTCAGACGCGGTGGCGGCGCTGAATGGCCTGGCGTCAGCGCGGATCGGCCGACCACTGCAAGCGCGGCGGTCGCGGCCAGCAGAGCGAGAGGTCACGTCGGCTCAGCAGTCGATTCTGGACCGTGTCGCGGAGCGGGTAGACGACCAGTTTCCTGCCCCTCCAGATGCTAGTTTTTCTTCGGCGCTTCCGGACCTCCTGAAGTGCGCGGACATGTATTTGACGAGCGAGTCCTCCAGCCGGGTCCCCATCCAGCTGGAGCGGCTCAAGATTTTGCAGAACAGCACGACGCCCAAGGAAGCCCTGGATGTGGTCGGCGCGGACGCCCGCAAGCTGCTGGCGGACCCCTGGCGCTACATCGAGCGGCGGGCCAACGACGTGGAGGCGGACGGTCCACCTCCTCGACCATACACCGACCCCAGACTTCGGTTCAGCCGCAAGCTGATGAAGGAGCTCGTGCTCACCCTCCACCGGGGCAACCTCGTGGTCTTCCGGCCCTCGGTGAAGGCATTCATCGGCCTCTTCACGGTTGTCAAGAAGGACGGCTGGTGGCAGCGGCTTATCGTCGACGCCCGCGTGCCGAACCATTGGCACCGGCGGCCGCCGCACTCGTACCTGGCGACGCCGGGGGCGGCTTCCGCTCTCGACCTGAGCGATGCCGCGCTGGAGCCTGGGGCCGCTGGCTCGCTTGAGCTGTGCGGCGCCGCGGTCGACCTGCAGGACGGGTTCTACCAGCTGAGCTTCAAGGTGATGAGCGACTGGTTCGGCATCGATTGTCGGATGACCGCTGCCGAGGCGGGGATCACGCAGGTCTTCGACGTCGTGGACGGAGTCGGCACTTGGCTGCCCGTCGCGGCCAAGGACCCCGTGTGGCCGTGTTTTTGTGGCGTGCCCATGGGGTGGACCTGGGCGCTCTTCATCTGCCACTCAGCCTTGACTGACGCCATGGTCGAGTCCCTCGTGCGCGTGATGCGCTGCGATCGCGGTCTGGCCGAGGCTCAGCTGCTCCGCGACGGGCAGCCCGCGCCCCGGCTGGCCAAGGGGCGCCCGGTCGCAGCGCCGTACGTGGACAATGGGAACTTGCTGTGTTTCGACCGCGAGGATGCTGCCGTGTTCTACGGCTCGATGGTGGCCGTCCTCAGCGAGCGGGGCTTCACGCTGCGGGACAACGTGGAGTGCGACGCGAACCTCGACATGGTGGGGTTCGAGCTGCAGGGCGCCAAGTTCGTCTGGAGGCAGCGGCGGTCTCGGTTCTGGCGGTTGTGGCACGCGCTGCGGCAGCTGGAGCTCCGGGGCGGCTGCACGGGGGAGGTGATGCGCATCATCCTCGGCCACCTGGTCAACTTCTTCATGCTCTCGCGGCCCGCCCTCAGCGTGTTGTCGCAGTTGTACGTTTTTAGCACTGAGAACCTCGGGCGCTACCGACGGTTTGACGGCCATGTTCGAGGGGAGCTGGTCACCTGCCGCGGCTTGTTAGCCCTCGTTCGCAGTCGGCTGCGGCCGCGCCATTACCCAGTCGCCTTTTGCTCGGATGCCTCGACGCGGGGCTACGCGATCCACAGTGGGCAGATCGACCCCCACCTGCTGTACGACGTCTGCCGCTGGCGAGAGCGCTGGCGATTCACCGTCGCGGAGGAGGACGAGGGGCCCGGCATCGACGGGGCTCAGACCGGCCTGGACGCCGACTTCCGCGAGCTGGGCGCCGACCTGGACATCGAGGACGGCGACTGGGATCGGAGGGGCGACCGCGCAGTTCCCGTGCGGCGCGCCCCGCGGGTCAGCAGCCTGGTGCCAGCCGAGGCCCTGCGGGCTGCCGAGCTCGGCCTCCCGCACCCCAGGGTCACGGGGATCGTGCCCGCGCTGCCGGACACGCTGGTGGCGCCGACGCGCTGGCGGCGGCTTCTGGTTGGCGCTTGGCAGCGCCGCGAGGCGATCCACATGAAGGAGGCGAGGATCGCGCTGGTGGGGCTGTACCACGCCGTCCGGGACCCTGCCAGCCACGGAGGCGTGGTCTTGTCGCTGGGCGATAACCTCTCGGAGGTCCTCGCCACCGAGCGGGGCCGGGCGCATGACCCCGCCCTCAACTCAGTGTGCCGCCGGGCAGCGGCGGTCGAGCTCGGAGCCGAGGTGCGGTGGGTTCGCCGCTACGTGGAGACGGACCGCAACCCCACGGACTCGGACTCCAGGCTCGCGGAGCAGGGGATCCTGGCGCCGGGCGAGTCGCTGCGCGGGGGCCGCCTTGCCGCCCGGCTGGGGCGCCTGCGCGAGGGCGCGTGCTGCCCCGACCGCGTGCCCGATGGCACCCCGCGCGCCGCCGCGAGCTCGACGGCGGCGCCGGCGCCTCCCGCGGGCCCCCAGCGCCGGCCACTGTGCCCTGGCGCACGGGGGCCGTCGCGTCGGCGCGACCGCGCTGGGGTGCTGGAGATCTTCGGCGGGAGCTGCAGGTTCTCTGGCGCGTGCGCGGCGGCTGGCCTCCGCATCCTGCGCCCTATCGATGTCTCGGCCGGGCCGCACTTCAACGTTCTAAGCATCGCTGTTCAGCAAAAGATACTGCATTGGATTTCTCACGGATATGTCTGTCATGTACACATTGCTACCCCGTGTACCCGCTGGAGTGTAGCCAACACGACTGGGGCCCCAGACTCGGAAGGTTCGAGAGCAGGCCTTGGGTGCGCTGACTTCACGGCGCGGGTCCTCAGGATGTGCCATCGGTGTGGGGTCTCCGTGTCGCTCGAGAACCCTAGGTCTTCGAGGCTCCTGAAGTACCCGCCCCTCGTTAACATCTTCGAGAAACTGGGCTGCGTGTCGTTCGAGTATCACTGTTGTCGCTATGGGGCTCCTTACCTTAAGCCGACCGTGTTCGTGACGAACGTCCCGTCCTTGAGTGTCATTGAGAGGGCCTGTGTGTGCATTGTACCCCATGGACGACTAGAAGGTAAAGTAAAGATCCCAGATGAGACAGGCAAACTAGTTTGGAAATGGAAGACCTCGCTGGCTGGCGCCTACCCTCCTGGCCTCTGCCGCGTCGCAGCCCGAGGGCTCAAGGAGGCTCTCGGGCCGGGTGCCCTCCGCCGAGATGGCGAGCCGGCGCTCGACCCGCGCTGGGAGCGCGAGCTGGCGGTGGCAGCGGGCTTCCCGCAGCCGAAGCCGCTCGAGGTCCCCTCGTGTCCACGGCGGTTTACTACTGGCTGGGAGCACGCCGTCGGGCACCAGCTCTGTGGCGACAGCGCGGAGCAGCGTCGCGTCGCCCTCCGAGCGCTGGGCCGCGCGGCTCGCGCAGCAGGCGACCCTGACCAACGGTGGCCGGCCGCCGCAGGGCCTTCTGCTGCCGGACGGGGTCGACAGTCGTCCTCCGACCGGCGACCGGCGGCGGCGCGCCGCCACCAGACGGGCCGTGGCCAAGACGGTGAAGGTGTCCCCCGGCGAGAAGGGCTACTTGAAGCAGAGGTCGGTGGGCGGGGCCACGCTGCGGCTGTACCAGCGGGAGTACGAGATGCTCGTGGCCTGGTGGAAGGCGCAGCGTCTCTCGACCGCGAGCACAGAGGCTCACGACGAGGCCCTGGAGCGCTACCTCGACAAGCTCTTCTTCGACGGGGAGCCCGCGAGCCGGGCCAACAACGTCGTCCACGCCCTGATGTACCACATCGACGAGGTCTGGGCGAAGACGCCGCACTTCCCCCGGACGCGGCGAGCCCTGCGTGGCTTCCGCAAAGCCTCGCAGACCTGGTCGCGGGATGGGTGCCCGTGGGAGGCAGCGCTGGCCCTTGCCCACTGGATGGGCCGCCAGCGAACGCCGTTCATGGCGAACTCGGCGGCGCTCACCCTCGTGCTCTTCGACGGCTACCTGCGAGCCTCGGAGGGCCTCGGGCTGGGGCGGGACCAGCTCATCCCGCCGCAAGGCGGCCGCGGCGCCCGGAGGTGCTGGGCTGCCATGATCTGCCCGGAAGAGGAAGGGCGCCCTACCAAGAGCGGCGACTTCGACGACACGGTCATCTTTGGCGACACCTCGGAGGCTCGGAGGCCGCTGCTCACCAAGATCCTGCAGGTGCTGCACCGGACGACCGAGGCGGGCGCGCTGGTGTTCGACGGCCTCTCTCTGAACTCGTACGAGCGGGTCTTCAGGCGCGGGACCCTGGAGCTCGGGCTCGAGAACCTGCGCCTCACCCCGCACTGCCTTCGGCACGGCGGTGCGTCGACAGATGGCCTGGACGACCTCCCGATCGTGCAGATCCAAAAGAGAGGCCGCTGGAAAAGCCTGGCAAGCTGCAAGCGCTACGAGAAAAAGGGCCGTCTCTTGAAGCAGCTCGACCGCCTGAAGGCGGTGCCAGGCGTCCACGGTGAGACCTCTTTGCAGTGGCTCCTCACGCAGTTTCCTCGGATCCTTCAGAACCAGCGCGTGATGAGCTGAAGGCCCAACCCACCCACCCTGAAGGCCAATCATATGGGGAGTTATGGGAGTGTGGTGGTGCCGGCACCGACGTATTGCTCGGAATGCATGTTGTGCAACCCTCTTGTGATTCGGAGGCTCGTTGAGCCCGGCCTGGAAAATGCTAGCATTGCCGCTCGCCGCTCTGTCATCTCTGTCATTTTCCTGGCGCTCCGCGCTTCGCCGCCGCTTAGCATCCTGAACATTTTTGTCTTTGACTGTTTTGTTCTGTGGCGGCGAGGCGGTCTCAGGCCAAAGGTCCGAGGGGGATCTTTGGGCGTCTCCGTAGTCGCTCTTGGTCCCCCGCCCTCCCACCCTGTACTATACTCTGGGGAGTGTGGTGGTGCCGGCACCGACGTATTGCTCGGAATGCATGTTGTGCAACCCTCTTGTGATTCGGAGGCTCGTTGAGCCCGGCCTGGAAAATGCTAGCATTGCCGCTCGCCACTCTGTCATCTCTGTCATTTTCCTGGCGCTCCGCGCTTCACCGCCGCTTAGCATCCTGAACATATATGTATATATATATACAAATATATACACATCTATATATCCTGGGGGAGCAGACCCGGGGCCCGAAAACAGCTGCCACGACCTTCCATGGGAGGACCGGGGCTCAGTTTCCTTGGGTTTTTCAGGATTTCCGCGTCCTGGGCCTCGGAGGCCGCCGCCTCCGACCCCCCATGGGAGGACGGGGCGGCCGGGGAGGTCCAAAATAGTTCAGGAGGGCCTCCAGAGGCTCCCAAGACGGCCCAAGCGGCCCCCCAAGGTACTCCACGACGCTTCAAGACGCCCCTTCAGAGCGCTGCAAGAGGCCGAAATCGTACATTTTACGAAGGATTTCGAATGGTTTTGGCCTTCCAGCCTTTTCGGCTGCCCGACGTTCCAAGACGGCTCAATAGGCCCCCAAGAGCGCCCCAAGACGGCCCCAGAGGGTCCCAAGACGGCCCCAGAGTCCCCCAAGACAGCCCAACAGAGCCCCAAGACGGGCCAAAGATGCGCCCAAGAGGGGGACCACGACTCAAACATTCGACCCTCCCGCTTCAAGAGTGCCCCAGGAGGCCCCAAGGAGCCCCCAAGAGGCCTCAGGAGGCCCCCAAGAGGCACCCAAGAGGCCCGACCGAGAAGCTGCGAAACTGTTTTCACGATGTCCCCGACAGGCCAACCACGAGATCCAAACCAACAGCCATGAGGCCTCTGACCCACCACCCAGGGCACGGTGACGGCAGCAGTGACAGCATTTGTGCACAGCATGTTCTTGCGGGAGCCTTCGGAACATGCTGCAGGAGGAGGAGGAAGATCAGGAGGAGCGAGTACTGGAGTGGGAGGAGGAGGAGGAGGAGGAGGGGGACGAGGAGGAGGATGGGGCCTCCAAGACAGCTCCAAGATAGCCGAAGAGGCTTGGCGGCCCACGAGAGCCCCAAGGCGGTGCCTGAGGCGCCCAAGACGGCCCGAGAGGGCCCCAATACGGACCCAAGAGAGGCCCAAGAAGGGAAACACGAACCGAGAATCCGAGCTTTCTACTCCGAGAGTCCCAAGAGGCCCCCAATCGGATCCAAGAGGCCCCCAAGAAGCTCCCAAGAGGGCCGACGAGGTTCCAAGAGATCTCCCAAGGTGGCCCCGAGAGGCACAATTCATTGTCTTACGATTGGGTGTTGACGGGTTTTAATTTTTTTTTGCTTTTAGGCATCCCGATGCTCCAAGACGGCCCAAGAGGCTTCCAATACCGCTCCCACATAGAGGAAGAGGCCTCCAAGAGGGCCCCAAGACGGCCCGCGAGGGCCCCAGGACGGTGCTTGAGGTGCCCAAGACGGCCCGAGAGGGCCCCAAGAGCCCCAAGAGAGGCCCAAGAAGGGGAACGCGACCCAACAGCAGAGCGTTCCCCCGAAAGGCCCACAGGAGGCCACAAGAGGCCCCCAAGTGGTCCGACGAGGACCCCAAAAGCTTCCCGAGGGCCTAAGAGGCCCCTAGGAGACGGCCAAGAGGCTTTAAAATAGCCCAAGAGTGCCCTCGATGCGTCAAAACTGCTTGCATGAGGCCCCCGGGAGGCTTCCCGATTGCCTCAATCTGGCCGCAGGTGGCCTCAAGTCGGGCCTCCACGCAGCCAAGACGGCCAATGACGGCTTCAGATTGCAGAACCGATGCCCCCAGGGACCTTCAGACGCCCCCCCAAGAAGCACCCAAGAGGTGCCTCCACCAGCCAGTTGACGAAGCATGCGAAACACCCCAGAAGCTCCTCAGATGCCGTCGCGCGCCTGTGCTTGATAGCGTTGTCCAAGATCGTCCAGCGCCCCCCCAGCCGGGGCTAGAACCTGAGCGCGCGCTCAGGGTGGCCTGGACAGTACGCCCGGGCCCGGGCATACTGTCCTGAGTCCTGAATGGATGAGCATCTAACCCAAATCCACAGTTCCCGGATTCCTTGGGGCCTTCGGAGACTCCGCGAAAACGTTCCTTACGCCCAAAGAGAAGCAGCGTTACGCTGAAGAGAGGAGGCGTCGCGCCTTAATCACTCCCCTGGGCATTACGCCCATGTGAAGAGCCTTACGCCCAGCGTTTCAGAGTACTGCACTCTTCCTCCTAGAGCATTGCGCTCTTCTCCCCTGCAGCTAAAAGCAAGAGCACTACGCCCTGCTGTGGCTCCTCCCCGATCATCCTCATCCTACATAGGCATGGTGCCTTTGACTCCACCCTGGGTGTTACACCCATTTTAAGAGCATTGCGCCCCGAGTTATCATTCCGAGGTTGCCTTCCCTCCTCCGCAGTTGGCATGAGCCCGTTCGAAGATGGCCTGCCTGTGGCGATGGTGGTGGGGATCCACTTCCTGTTCCTCCTCCTCCCCCTCCCCCTCCTCCTCCTCCTCCTCCTCCTCCTTCCCTCGTTGGGCATCCGTCGCGGCCTCCTCCTGATCCTCCTCCTCCTCCCCCTCCTCCTCCTCCTCCTCCTCCTCCTCCTCCTCTTTTTCTCCCTTAACCCCTCCCGCTGAGTATCCTGTCGCGGACTCCTCATGATCCTCCTCCTCCTCCTCCTCCTCCCCCTCCTTTTCCTCCTGATCCTCCTCCTCCTTCCTCCTCCTCTTCCTCCGCGTCCGCATCCTCTTCAGAATCATCCTGTTTCTCCTCCTCATTCTTCTCTTCCTCCTCCCCCTCCCCTTGGATTCCCCCTCCTGGATAGCAGTTCCATTGCCATCAACGCCGGCTCCCGCCTGAGAGGTTGCCAAACGACTTACTCACCGTGAGGGGCACCCGCTTGAGAGGCCCCCAACAAACAAGAGGTGGCCCCCGCCTGAGGGCCCCCCCCAACACCAAACAAGACGAGGCTCTCTCCTGAGAGGCCCCCCCCCAAAAAACAATCAAAAGTAAGCTCGCGCTTGAAAGGTCCCAGAACAAAACAAACAAGATGAGGCCCCCGCCTGAGAGGCCCCCCCCAAAAAAAAAGCAGAAGGAAGCCCCCGCCTGAGAGGCCCCCGAACACCCAAACAAATGGGGGTTCCCGCCTGAGAGGTCCAACAAAAAACCAAAGGAAACCCAAACACCATGCCTCTCATCCCTGCAATTGCCCCTCAAAAGCCAGGAAGGAAAAATCAACAAAACAGTTCCAGGAGAGATCCGACGCCGCTGCACCAGGTGCATTGACGAGGGCCGCCATCTCCTCTGGAACTTTCCCCCCCCTGTTGTTGGGGACAGTTACAGGAATGAAAGGCATGGTGTTTGGGTTTATTCTGGTTTTGTTTGGGACCTTTCGGGCGGGAACCTCCATCTGTTTGAATTTGTTCGGGCCTCTCAGGCGGGAGCCTCCTTCTGTTTGGTTTGTTTTGGGGCCTCTCAGGCGGGTGCCTCATTTTGTTTGCTTTTTTTGGGGGGGGGCCTCTGAGGCGGGAGCCTCCTCCTCCTCCTTTTCCTCCTCCTCCTTCCTCCGTTGTCCTCCTCTGATGAAATCTTTCTCCTCAGTCCATCCTTCTGTGACTTTATTATGCTGCTGCTTCTCCTCCTCCTCCTCCTTCTCTCCTCCTCCTGATCATTATCCTCCTCCTCCTCTTCCTCCTCATCCCCCCTCCTAGACGACGAGGTGAAGAAGAGAAGGCGTAATGATATTGACCCCTGCAGAAGAACGATGAGGTAGATCTTGTGGTGGGGAGGCGCCCATATATATATATATATATATATATATATATATATATATATATATATGTGGGGGGGGGATTCCCACCCCGGGGACCCGCCCCCCCCCTTGTACATAGGTAGTGCCCCCCTCCCAGGAGCCCTCCGGGACCCGCCCCCGAGGCGCAGAGCAGCCCTAAATCCGCCCAAGATTGTTTACATATGGTTCAAGAGCTCTCCAAGACGCACCAAGAGGACCTCAAGAGCGCTCCAAGACGGCCCAGGAGGCCCCCAAGGGTGCCCGAGAGGCTTCCGAAAAGGTCCTCGAGAAATTCTATTTTTTCACAAACCAGCGGAAAATTTACATTTTTGGATCAGAGGCCCTCAAGACGGCCCAAGAGGCCTCCCAAAAGGTCACCAAAAGGCAAACACAGTTTTTTCCCTTCGGAAAACGTACGTTTTTAGCATATTTGCTTCTTCGGTTCTAACAGCGCCCAAGACGGACCCAAAGGCCCCCAAGACGGCCGTAAGACGACCCAAGAGGCCCCGAAAAAGGCCCCAAGACGGCCCAAGAGAACTCCAACACGGCCCATGAGAGCCCCCCGACGGCCCACGACGGTCGCCAGAGGTTCCCAAAAGCGTCCCCAGGAAGCCACAAGAGGGCCATAGGAGGCACCCTCGACGGCCCAAGAGGGCCCCAAGACGGCCCAAGCGCCCAAGACGGTCCAAGAGGGCCCCGGGACGGGCCAAGAGGGCCCCAAAGAGCCCCAAAAGGACCCCCAAGAAGGTCCCAAGAGGCCCCCAGAGACTCCCAAAACGCTCCCAAAACGGTCCCAGGAGGCGTCCCAGCATTCACCCGTAAGCGTATGGGAGGTCTCGCTTCGACGT